AGACATTTAGTACAGCGGAAGCCACTCCATCAACATTGACAAGTAACTCAAATGAAACATTCACCCTTAAGCAAAACAAAATCTAGTCTGAAATGAGGAGTTCTCTAATAGCTGGTCCATACATACATACTATTGTTAAAGAGGATGTATCATGATAGGGTGTTTATTTAAAGTGATGGTGGAGTGGGTGAGATCACGATGTGTATTTGTGAAAATTTAGTTTTGTTCTAGAAGCCACTCCACCTGCCTTCCTGCTCTCTCTTACTCTCAGGTACAAAATGGAACCTCTTTTTTTAGCACAGGGAGAGCACAGAAGGGAGTGGTTATAGCAGTGTTCTGAGCAAACCTAGGGCAACAAATAGAGTCAAGCATTCCCAGCCTGTTATGTAACGGGGACAGATTTTTTTCTGAGCAAGTTGGGAAGAAACAAACATCCTTAAGAATACTATTAATAGATAATCCCTGCTTCCAGGGAACTTGGAGCAACTGCAGCTTCAATAACTGAGCATACCCACTAGCAGTCACAAGAGCCCTGATAAAAGAAGGAAATCAGTAGAATTCAGAGGAGAAGAGAACATAGATCTGATGAATGGGCACATCTGTTGTCTTCAAAACTAAGTCATCTGTTGCTAAAAATAAATATATGAACTGGACAAACATGATAGAAGTCAAAATTCTAATATGAAGAGGTGCAAAAGTTCAGGATTCAATGGGTGAAGCTTTAGGTTATACCGTGATAAGTGGTGACTAAATCCACATTCTTGCTAGTGGGAAGGTTTTTAAGCAAAAGACGGCATAGATTTCTTGAGACTTTATTTTCACTTTTAATATGTATCAAAAATCATTGGAAGATAACTTAGAGATTCAAAATTTCCCCAGTCAGAATAGAGCACGAAGCAGAATTTCTTTTTGTTGGTCATACCCCTATGTATTTATGTTGCTAGGTCTAATTAACCAGGATTGCCCACACCTTTCATGGAGACTTGAGCCCAAGCTCACTTTGAATTGTCCTGAGTCATGTGGTCACAGACTTTATTCTTGGCTACACTCTGTACTTGCTATATAACGAATGAAAAAAGAATCTAAGTGTGTATCTTAGTTTATGTATTTGTTCACTGGTATGAGAAACTAGATATTTCCCAGCTTTGAAAAGCTGCAGTGAAGGCTAATGGGCAAATATAAAGCACTTTTAAACATAGCAACAACCATAATAACAGAAACAGCAATGTGCCAAAAATGAAAATAAAACCAAAGAGAGTACTGTAACGTTATATTTTTCAAAACTACAATAGGGGGGAAATTTCACATTTGTTTCTTTAAGTGAGGAGGAGTATTTCATCCTTAGAACCATGGGTGTTTTTCCTGAGAAAATGTCCCTTGACTTGCAAGTTTAAAGATTTTCTAAATTAGCAATAAGTAACTATAATACATTAGTGTCTGATTTTGGCAAGTTATCAGATTCTACATATTATCTAATGAGTATTTTTCAAAATTGGGCAATTCTGTAGCATTTTAATCACTATGCCTTCCCAAATGTGCCATATTACCAGTTGATTTCTGATTTCATAATAAATGATTGTATTTTACCTGGTCCCTTTAACATTTTTACTAGTGTTATGACAAACATTGTTGATATGAGCCATAAAAATGTAATGATAACATCATGATTGGATTTTCTTCACTTGCATACAGTATTTACCAATTTTAGCTTTCTAGATATAGTCAAACCCATTTATATCATAAATATTATAAAAATTAGGGAGCAGAATCTAACTGGATTCTCTGGTAAAACTGTTCTCAAATTAGGTAATAGAAATCTAACACTAACAATGATAACATAAGCCTTGTATGATCTGAGTAGTTGACAATTCTGATCTTAAATATTCTATTACATTAAATCATAGTACTATTCATGTCTATCCAACAAACTTTGCATTTTGTTCGTTTTTCCATTTATAAATTCTTCCGGAATTTTTGAAATATGTTTTCATAAGGAACCAAAACACCAATTAATCAATAGTCTTGCTCCCAGAAAACTTAAGAATCACAAAGACAGATACAGTAAGATAACACAATTTTGTGAGAAACTCTCAATGAAAAGAGATGATAGGAACAGCCAATGGATCCAGGAATGAACTAGGAACAAAACTGTTAAGCCTTATTTTATTGTGAAAGATGGGTTTCAAATTAGGTTCCATGCTTTTTAATGTCCAAAGTAAAGAAGGAAATGCCCTCAATTATGTGTGCCTCAGGTCTTTATGATAAAGTATATTGTCTTAGATAAGCACAACCATTTTGCATGGCTGTGCTTATCTCAGATTAGGAAGAAGTTTCTCAAAGAATCTGCAGAGAAATTGTCCTGAGCAACATGCTTACATCAATCCCAGGAACAACTTTTCCAGAGCTGTTTCTTAAAGCGCCCAGTGGAAGCAATTTAGTAAAAGCAATTTGATAAAGGAGATGAAGAATGGGAATTAGTTTCCCGGGATCTATTTCCTCAGTGCTGAGAAGGTTCACAAATATAATTGCTACAGAAACATAAGGATATCATCTCTCACTAATGAAAGTCTCATAAAATAACACCATAACAGCTTCCTATGCATATGAGTTATATTTAATATTCATTTAAAAATACTAAGTGCTACCATTATCATTCTTCTTGAAAAGCTCATCTACAAGTTTTTGGCTTTTCATATACTATGTACTTTTAAGGATTGTTTATAAATGCCTCAAAAAATAAACAACTAGAGTTCCTGTGACTCTCTTTGATTAAAAAAACATCTCATTTTCCTAAATGTACAGAAAATAGGATTAGGTTAAATAATCTTTAAGGTTTTTTTTTTACTTCACGTGCTTAACAGCTTCAGTATATGTCATGATGTCACTTTTTTCTTTTTTTTTTTGTTTTGTTTAAAGCAAATAACTGTTCTTATTTTCTTAGAAGCCTCAAAAGGCAAAGGAAAAATCAGTGTATTGATCTCTACAATGGAGTCCAATGTTATCCTAGCTTCAGAAGGTGTTCAGTTACAGAGAAACATTTTAGTAATCATAAGGTTCAGACAGACCTTATGTGACCCTATTCATTCCTGACCAGCAAATAGTTTTTGTTTAACTTCGAAAGAAACCAGACAAACTCTGCAAGGTTACTTGTAATCATGACACCATTCTTAGAATTGCCATGTGCTGGGAACATGCCTTCTTGCTTCCTCCTTCTATCTACAGTATAAATCTGAAGGACTTTGTTATGGCTCTTATACTTGGCACATCTTAGGCCTATTTAGAACATCAACACCATCAATCACAAAATATGGGGCCGACCAGCTGGATGAACCCTGGCTATCATGCAGGGGTTATTTGTCATCTGGGCATGTCTGTTTGGTATATAACACTCCTTCAGTCCCAGAACAATTTTCCCTCTCCAAAAATATTCTCTTTGATTCAGGAAACACGTGATTAATAAAGGACAAGGGTTTAAAGCCGGAGGTCAAGGCTAAAAGTCTTAACCAAACAAGTGCATTGCTTACTAACGTTTGCATCAGCAGTCAAAAATTCCCTTGAAGAGCTCCTGCACTGAAGAAACACACGTCTATTCTTAAGTGTCATAAATTTCAAGGGACTCCAGCAACTATGTTCATCTTGAGGGATTTATTTTAAAATAATGTTGCACATTTGAGAAATGTTTTGCTGAGGAATAATAACACTGCATCAAGCATTTAAAAGGCCCATTACAAACATTTACAATTTAACATTATAAATTAAGGTTGAAAAGATATAATTTAACCAATATGATATGTAAAGGAAATTTGTACTATAACATTAGAACAATTTGCATTAAAAATAAATTGTTTTCTAAGATGTCTATTTATACTAAAATGGATTTAAAAGCAACACTCTTTCCCTCATACTTTTTGTCTTATTCATATGCCAACCTATGTACTTCATAGTACTTTTCCATTAGACAGTTTTTCTTTTATTCTTGTTCCTCTTCCTTTCACCAAAAGAAACTTGTTACACGTTTATAGAATATTGGTTTTTCTTCTTTCTAGGCAAGTGTTATAGTTCCATCCTGGAATAGTATTTATTTGATATTTATGAATTGTTTTTTGTGTGCATTACAGAAAAAAAGCAAATTTGAACAACATAAATTTAAAAAGTCATTGTTGACCAGTTTTAAAATTATCCCAACACTGAGTAAACTGGAAGTGACTCCATTTCTCAAACTGGAGAAATGGATCAAATAATGTTTGTTTCACTAAAATTGTAAAGAGAGTCACAAACTCCTGTTGGAAATCTAAACAGAGTTTCTCAGAGGAAAGGTGCTAAGTAGATTGTGTGCTAGTGTTGATGATGTTGCAAGGCCTAAGGAGCACATGTCAGTCATCACTTTATTTAATGTGTACAGATTTCTAAGCTCCTGCACATACACCGCCTGAGGTAACCAGAGTTGCTGGAATTCAGCTTTCTTTACCTCTCTGTCAAATGCCAAAGGAATAAAAATAGAAGCCTATTGTTCTACAAAACACATTGTATTAAGAATATTTTTCTACTGAATTTCATACCAGCAATGCACTTATCCTTGTAGACTGCCTTAGAATCATGGCTTTGGAGGCATAAAAAGGCTTTTGATGTCATCTGGTCTGACTTTTCCTATTGCTGTGGAAACTAAGCCTTCAGAAAGGAAGAGGCAAAGTTAAGACTAAAATTCTCATTTCCCATTTCCCTGTCCAGCATCCTCTGGGCCATCATATAAATCCTTCGTATGGCTCAACTGTTGGTGCAGAGTCTTGGGATAAGTCTGACTTGCTCACAGCTGGGCCATCTGTTGCTCCACTACTTATGCTAATATGATAACATTGTATATTTGACTGTTGATGGGGTCTTCTTGGCACTCTACATGCATAATGCTCTCAGTTAACTCAGGTGACCTTGTTAAACAATGACAATGTGTGTGAAGCCTGAGTTTGTTAGCATTCATTTATTACAAAAACAGGGTTACTGACCTTGTCATATTTAACAGTGTTGAGCAGACACAGCAATGTGGATCCTGAGGGCAAATACAGAATTTCCAGAGGTGATGTAAGAACTATGCTAATTAGTCTCCCCCCCCCCTCAACTCGGCTTCTAGGCACTGAATAACTGTACAGTTCAGCTAGAAGACTCACTGAGCCCCAAACTAATAAAATCCAAGAATTTCTATAAATAATAATAAAAAATGTGTTTCAACATGCCATTTCCTTTTAGAACAAGAGTGGCTTTTGCAGAGCAATGTGCCTGGGGGGAGTGTTCACTCTACTTTTGCTGTTGTATCCCTGCCCCCAGTAGAACTGAAACAACAATGTAGGTTGACTCTCCCCCTTAAAAAAAGCAGAAAAACAATCTTCTATCTATATTCCCTTAAAATCATTTTCTTAAGAACGAGTGTTTTAAACTGCTATCACACTGTGCTGAGATAAGAACTGTATGTGAGGACCAGTTTACATATCTAAACATTTGGATATGGGTATTCTTGCCTCAGTAGAAAAGCAAGTTAATTTTTTAACAATGCAGTATTACCTTGGTATATCTTGTTCTTTCTTTCCCTCAGGGTCTTACACGAATGAATCAGAAAATTGCTCCCTTATGCTCAGCCTAAGTCTGCACCTGTGTTAAATTCACGTGGAACTGGAATTGGGGTGTGGGGGTGGGGATAAATGTCAGCAAAACTAATAGGATGATATATCTGAGTTTGAATTCTCAAATGGACTAGCATCCAATGTAGAGACTATTGATGGGAACATTTTTGTAGGCATATTGTTTCACATCTAGAACTAAAATTAGGGATATATAATCATGTTGATCAGCTGTCCTCAAGTTCTCAAGTTTATGATTAAACACATCTGGCTCCAGATTCTAGGAAACTCAGATTACCAGGTATTCTTGAAATTTTGAAATGCCAAAATTTTTACTTTACTTTCTTTGGGTATCCTGAATTACTTTCCAAGTATTAAAACAATCTACATGTTTTAGACATCTTAAGAGAGATCATAAAAATAAGCAAATCATTAAAACAAAATATAGAAAGCAATGAAGAGTTGAAAGAAGGGAAGAGATTGATGACCAGTATATATGAAAAAAAAAGACATTTTGATGTTCTGGACAAATGGAGAGATTATGGATCAGTATGAAAGTGTGAGGAATTTAAGTGAGAAAAATAGATATGTAGAGAGAGTTGTGTCCATGTTCTAAGTCTGCTCTTTACCCATGAATGGAAGTGGTGGAACAAGTCAGTTTGCTTCACAATGAAGCAAACTTGTTAACAAAATTTCATATCTGCTTGTTTTCCATTGTGCAGTACCGCATTGATGTTTTTAGGTAATATTGGCCAGCATTCTAGATGTATTCTGGATGAAGACTGTTGTATGTTTGAAAGGCTTTGCTATCAGAGGAAGGGAGGAAATGAGAAAGAAATTTGGGGCTCTGAGAATATAACACCTCAGTTTTATCAGCCATGAAGTACACACCACAGAGGACGATTATTTGCATACTGCGATGGAGGCTGGTTAAAGTCCAATCAATTGAATCCAGATGTGGTTTTTTGTGAGTTTTTTTTTTTCTTGCAAGTGAGGTTTGCCAAAATTTCTTGGGAGCAGAGACCACAAGCTAATATATGCCAATGGACTCTCAAACTACAAGGAATGTTTTTGGCTTATAAGAAATCCTACTTTAAGCTTAAGGCCTGAAATAGAATAAGCTGGTTTATGATAAATTAATTAAAGGATATTTACAAATGGCTAGGCCTTGCCTAAACAAAATCTTCCAAGACAACTCTACAAAGGCGTTCCTGATATGGTGACTTAATTACAAATTTAGGAAACACTACAACTGGTAGTTTATGCTCTTCTGGCAGGAAGTAGGCTTGAGGACAGCAATTGATGAGGATAATGACTGGAATTTGAATAACATGCCAAATGTCTGTTTTAAAAAGGTGTGAATGTTCATAGGAATCTCAGATTTCTTAAGACACTAATAGGAAATACTTTTAATCTTAGAAATTGATTAGTTTTAAGAATATTAGAAAATCAATTTTAAGGGAATTCTATTATTCCTGTTTTCTTTACAAATGTGATGAATTTTAACTAGTTAAAATATATGAAGAAATACAACTCAATAACAACCCCCCCCAATAATCTGATAAAAAATGAGCACAGGATATAAATAGAAATTTTTCCGAAGAAGACATACAGATGGCCAACAGGCACATGAAAAGATGCTCGGCATCATTAATCATCAAGGAAAGGCAAATCAAAACCACAATGAGATATCACCTCACATCTCTCAGAATGGCTATTACCAAAAAGACAAGAAATAACAAGTGTTGGTGAAGATGAAGAGAAAGCGGAACCCCCATGCACTGTTGCTGAGGATGTAAATCAGTGCAGCTACTATGAAAAACATTGTGGAAGTCCCTCAAAAAATTGAAAATAGAACTACCATATGATCCGGCAATTCTGCCTCTGGTTATCTGAAGAAAACAAAAACACAAATTTGAAAAGATATGCGTCTCTATGTTCATTTCAGCATCATTTGCAATAGCTAAGATGCAGAAACACCTAAGGGTCTATCAACGGATGAATGGGTAGAGAAGATGTGATATAAATGTGCACACTTACACACACATGAATACTATTCAGCCATACAGAGAATGAAATCTTGCTATTTGTGACAAAACATATAGACCTTGAGATTACTACAATAATTAAAATAAGTCAAACAGAATAAAGACAAATATCACATAATTTTACTTAAAAGTGGAATCTAAAAGACAAAAGAAACAAAACAAAATACAGACTCATAGATACAGAGATTAGATTGGTGGTTATCTGAGGGGAAGGAAGTTGCAAGGGGTGAGGGGTGATGAAAAGGATTAAGAACTACAAATTTCTGGGGGCACTTGGGTGGCTCAGTCAGTTAAGCATCTGACTTCGGCTCAGGTCATGATCTCACAGTTTGTGGGTTCGAGCCGCGTGTCAGGCTCTGTGCTGACAGCTCAGAGCCTGGAGGCTGCGTCAGATTCTGTATCTCCTCTCTCTGACCCTCCCCTGCTCATGCTGCCTCTCTCTCAGAAATAAATAAAGTATTTAAAAAATTTAAAAATAGAAGTACAAATTTCCAGTTATAAAAATAAATAAATCATGGGGATGTAATGTACAACATGAGGGGGAATATAATCAATAGTATTCTATTAACTTCATAACAAATTAATTAGGCTTGTTGTGTATACAAATGTCAAATCATTCTGTACACACATGATATAATACACAACATTGTATATCACTGATAAAGAACATTCTTAGTTGGAAAATATGCACCAAAAATTATACTAAGGGAGCCAGATCTGGACCATGGAGTGAAAATAAAAACAATACAAAACAAAAAACTCTGGTCTTTTCTTTGGGACTAGTATTCCTTTATTTTTTTTTTTTAATTTTTATTTGAGTATAGCTGACACACAATATTACATTAGTTTCAGGTGTAAAACAAAGTGAGTGGTTCAAAATCTCTCTATGTTATGCTACGCTCACCATAAGTATAGCTACCATCTGTCACCATTCAATGCTATTACATATCATTGATTGTATTCCCTATGTTATTCCTTTTATTCTCATGACTTATTCATTCACTGGACACTTCTATCTCCTACTCTTCTTCCATCCACCGCCACCATCCCCTCTGGCAATCATCCACTTGTTCTCTGTATTTATAGATTTGATTCTGTGTTTATCCATTTGTTTTGCTTTTTAGATTCCATATATGAGTAAAATGACATGGTACTCATCTGACTTATTTCACTCTGAATAGTACCCTAATGTTTATAGCAGCACTTTCAACAATAGCCAAATTATGGAAAGAGCCTAAATGTCTATCAATTGACAAATGGATAAAGAAGATGTGGTTATACAATGGAATACTATTTGACAATGAGAAAGAATGAAATCTGGCCATTTGCAGCAACGTGGATGGAAATGGAGGGTATTATGTTATGTGAAATAATTCAGTCAAAAAAAAAAAGACAGATACCATATGTTTCACTCATATGTGCATCCTGAGAAACTTAACAGAAGACCATGGGGGGAGGGGAAGAGGAAAAAAAGTTACAAACAGAAAGGGAGGGAGGCAAACCACAAGAGACTCTTAAATATAGAGAACAAACAGGGTTGATGGGGGGTAGGGGAAAGGGGAGAGTGGGTGATGGGCATTGAGGAGGGCACTTGTTGGGATGTGCACTGGGTGTTGTATGGAAACCAATTTGACAATAAATTATATTTAAAAAATACCTTCTAGGAGACCGGTATTCTTTTTTTAAAAAATTTTAATGTTTATTTATTTTTGAGAGAGAGAGAGAGAGAATGAATCTGAAGCAGACTCCAGGCTCTGAGCTTTCAGCACAGAGCTCAACATGGGGCTTGAACTCACAAACCATGAGATCATGACCTGAGCCAAAGTGGGACACTTAACCAACTGAGCCACCCAGGTACCCTGAGAGGAGGAGTATTCTTGAAGTAACTACTCCAGAACTAAAGTAAGTAGCAATATGAGTAGAAATATTTTATTTTAGTTTATTTTCTATATGTATTACTTAAGAGTCAGTAAAGGAATAATTTTCCCACAACTCCATTTTCCTGGCAAATCAATGTGTTTTGATATTTCTAAGTTCTCTTCAAGTCTGTATGCATGCATTTTTGAAAAGGATATTACAGGCATGATAGAAGAGATAATTTTTCCTAAATAAAAACTTAATGAAAGCCTTATAATTTGGCCATTTGAATATCATTTAATGTCTTGGACTTAATTGAATTAAATTTATGAATTTATTAATCTCACTAATTATTGTTTGGTAAGAAAATTTTGTTTGTGACTAGAACTTCTCCTAAATCTCAAACAAAATCTAGCATTTGTTTATACCCCTTTTAGAGCTTTGGCTTTTTCTTATATTTGCTTTAGATCACTTAGTGTTACTTAAGAAATGTACAACCAAATTTGAAAACAAGAAATTCAGAAATTGGAAAAGTGCTTACTTAGAATTAATCAAATAAATTTCAATGTCATTGAATTTAATTCAACCCCAAACATATTTTCTATATGCTAGCTATTATAAAGAATATAGAATCAGATGAGACTTACCTACCTCTCAGGGCATGATAGGTTGCATAGACAAATGCTTGGATTGGACTATGAAGAGTTTAATAAAGGAGCAAAGCTCTTGGAGAACTTCCATGCAATGGAATACAAAGGCTATTCCAACAGCAGGGGCTTCTTGGAGTAGTTGAAATTAAACTGGGCCTCAAAGGATGGGAAGGCATAATTTACTTTTCTTTGGATCCTTTGATAAACTCATCTTGATAAATGACAGAAGTCCTCTGAAGGCAGTGGATTATGCAAGAATAATTTTGAGCTTCCTTTAAAGAATGGGAATACAGAGAGAACACTTATTCTGAGTTCACACCATGTATCAGGCTCTCTGCCAAGTAAGCCTTCCTTAGGTTATTTATCAGTGAGCAGGGTGGCTTCATGGGCATATGGTCAGTTTATTTGCATAGGGCATGGTGCTCAGAAGGGCCTTATACTTGGGGTTTAATGCTCTGCACTTACTGTCTTGACATTTTTAATAATCTTATCTTTGTGTTTTGTAGGTGAAGTCTGAGGACAATGGAGTATGCTCTGGGGATTTGAAGCCTTGGCTCTCATTTTGCCTCGTGTCTCACCTCACTGAACAGGTTGTCAGGATGCCACTGCCTACTATCTGGAGCTGAGTCCTGCATCTGGTCTCCCCTTCCCCATCTCTACCCTGCACATAGGAAATAAGCCATCCTCCTCCTGAGTGGCAACCAGGTTATATTGACAAAGGAAAGCCTATGTTCCACCACTGTCTACAGTTTCTGCTAGGGACCTGAGCATGAGTGTATGGAGGATCAGGGTCTGGCATGCACCCTTGGGAGCATCTCAGTGCAGGGTAGCTGGCATAAGTACAAAGCAATTAGGATGAATGGCATGGGGTGGGGGGCTCCTGCCCACTTCTGATTCAGGTACCACCAGTGTCCCAGCTGGAGGTTATAATCCCATGAGGGTTGCCTGGTTTGCCCATAGGTTGGGAAGATTAACATCCCTATCCCAGCTAGGGCCCCAAATTTCCATTTTGTTCTGGGGCTAAAAATGATGTAGCTAGCCCTGACCTTAGGCAGGTATTATTGTCCCCCTATTACAAATAGGAAACTGGAGTCTAGAGAAGGGTTGGTAGGTGGCAGAACACTCTACTCTAAAACTTATCCTCTCTCTACCACAGTGTACTGCACTATCTCCCTTGAGAAACAGTGAGCAAGAAGGTCCTCACCTCAAGGTTGACTTTTCTATGTATGACCTTTCCTCTGTAGTAGCCCAGAGGTGACCATGAATCCTCTCTTAGGAACACAAACCTGTAGTTAAAGAACTCAAGGTCTCTATGGTTTCTTCCAGTGGACAAGTGAAAACACTTAAGGAAAATTTTAGCTCCTACCCACTATTATGACTTAATTGTGTCCCCCTGAAGTTCATATATTAAAGCCTTAACCCCAGGTCCCTTAAAATGTGATTGTATTTTTCCAGAGGGCATTTAAAGAGGTGATCAAGTTAAACAATGGCCATTAGGGTGGACTCTGATCCAATCTGAGATATATCTTTATGAGAAGAAGAAATTTAATTGCACCAAAAAGAAGAAAACACATAGGAATAAACTTAACCAAGGAGGTAAAAGACTGGTACTCTGAAAACTATAAGACATTGATGAAAGAAATCAAAGATGATGCAAATGGAAAGATATGCTCATGGATTGGAAGAATTAAAATTGTTCAAATGTCCATACTACTGAAAGCAATTTACAGATTCAATGCAATCCTTATCAAAATACCAACAGGAATTTTCATAAAAGTAGAACAAATAATCCTAAAGTTTGTATCGAATGACAAAAGACCCTGAATAGCCAAAGCAATCTTGAGAAAGAAAAACAGAGTTGGAGGTATCACAGTTCCAGATTTCAAAGTATACTACAAAGCTGTAGTAATCAACAAAATTCAACATCAACAAACAAATAATCCTATTAAAAATGGACAGAGAACCTAAACAGGAATATTTTCAAAGAAGACATAAGATGGCCAACAGATGCATGAAAAGATGTGGAACATTGCTAACCATCAGGGAAATGCAAATCAAAACCACAATGAGATACCATCTTACACCTCTCAGAATGACTAAAATAAAGAAGATGAGAAATAACAAATGTTAGCAAGGATGTGGAGAAAAAGAAACTCTTGTACACAGTTGGTGGGAATGGAAATTGGTACACCCACTGTGGAAACAGTATGGAGGCCTCTCAAAAAATAAAATAGAAATACCATATGATCCACTAATTCTGCTACTTGGCATTTACCCAAAGAAAACAAAAACACTAATTCAAAAAGATACAGACACCCCTATGTTTACTGCAGCATTACTTACAATGGCCAAGATATGAAGCAGCCTAAATGTCCATCAATAGATGAATGGATAAAGAAGATGTGGTTTATATATACAGGGGAATATTACTCAGCCATAAAAAGGATGAGATCATGCCATTTGTGACAACATGGCTGGACACAGGGGGAATTATGCTAAGTGAAATAAATCAGTCGGAGAAAGACAAGTACCATATGATTGCACTTATATGTAGAATCCAAAAAGCAAAACAAATGGATAAACAAAAAAAAGTAGAATCAGACCTATAGGTACACAGAACAAACCTATGATTGCCAGAGGGGAGAGCAATGGGGCATGGGAAAAATGGGTGAAGAGTAGCAGGAGATCAGGCTTCTAGTTATGGAATGAGTAAGTAAGTCATGGGAATAAAAGGCACAGCATAGAGAATGAATTATAATAGCATTGTATGATGACAGGTGGTAGCTACACTTTTGATGAGCATAGCATAACATTTAGAGATGTTAAATCACTATGTTTTACACCTGAAACTAATGTAACATGGTGTGTCAACTAAACTTAAATAAAAACATTTTTAAAGGAGTTTCTAAGAAAAAAAACAAAGAGGAAATTGGACACACAAATTGACAAGTACACACAGAGGAAATACAAGGTAAGGAAACACAAAATAAGAAAACGGGAATCTGAAAATCAAAGAAGAGGCCTCAGAAGTAACCAACCTTGCTGACACCTTGATCTTTGATTTCTAGCCTCCAGAACTGTGAGAAAATAAATTTCTGTCATATAAGTCACCTGATCATTGGTTTTTGTTATGGTAGCCCTAGCAAACTACTATGCCCACTAAGATCCTGATATATGAATTCATTAATTTTCTGCTGGCCTAAAATGTATAGTATCATGATTCTATTAAGTGTTACAAAAATAAAGACCTATCTATAAAAGCACATTGGATGGGACTTGAAAATTCTGTAGGACAGAATTCCTACAATACTAGGAGAGCAGAATGAGAGAGAAAATGGGATAAGGCAAAAAGAAAAAAATTGGGACATTATAGGTAAGGAAATGATTAGCTATTGCCTTTCACTTCTTTTTATTAATTTTATATAAACAAGTAATATGTGAATAATATATGTTCATTTTTAAACCATTTAAAAGAAGCCTAAATAAGTGAAGTAAAAAAGTCTAAGTTTTTCTTTTCCCCTTTATTCCGTACATCGCTTCCCACCACTGAGGTAACCATTGATAAATATACTCTCTCAGACTATTTTAAAAAAGTATTTAAGAAAATATGCATAGGGGCACCTGGGTGGCTCAGTTGGTTTTGGCTCAGGTCATGATCTCATGGATCATGGGTTCAAGCCTCATGTAGGGCTCCACCCTGATAGCGCAGAGCCTGCTTGGGATTCTCACCCTCTCTCCCTTCTCCTTCCCTCTGTGTGCATGTTGCATGCTCTCTCTCTCAAAAAAATACATAAGCTTAAAAAAATAAAGTCAGGTTTCTTTTTTTAAAAAAAAGGATATATGTATATTTCAATCTATGCTTAATTTTGATTATCAAAGAAATGTGATTAGATAACATGTATTCTTTTGTGATTTATTTTTCCATTGAACAGTATGTATTAAGGATTTTTCCATATCTACTACACACCTACACACCTTTATCTTACATAATTTATTAAGAAATCCATGGAAGTCCACAAAATGGAGGCTGTATAATTTATTTAACTATCACCTAACTGACAGATATTCAAGATGTTTCCAATTTGTTCTGATGACAAAAATACTGCAATGAACATTTTTTACATACATATATGTGATCTTTAGATTTCTAATTGCTTTATTTCTTAGTCACTCCTCTGATTTCACTTTTACTTCTGGATTTCTTTTTGGAATTTATAACTAAGATTGTCTTTTCTGATCTGAATTAAGTATGTGAAAATAGACCGAGATGATTTTTCTTTAATACCAATACAACTGTAGTTATATATAATTTCCTATTTCCCTAAGAGAGCACGAAGAAAGCACTTTTAACTGTTGAAGTCATGCAGCACACTGGGGCCAGGGTATGCAGTAGTCTGCAAGGAAAGTTTATCTTTTTTTTTTTTTTTTAATGTTTTTATTTATTTCTGAGAGAGAGAGAGAGAGAAAGGGAGAGAGAGAGAGAGAAAGACAGCATGAGTGGGGTAGGGTCAGAGAGAGGGAGACACAGAATCTGAAGCAGGCTCCAGGCTCTGAGCTAGCTGTCAGCACAGAGCCCGACACGGGGCTTGAACTCACAAACCGTGAGATCATGACCTGAGCTGAAGTTGGATGCCCAACCGACTGAGCCACCCAGGCACCCCAAGGACAGTTTATCTTAAGCTGCTTATCTTAGTACATAAATTCTCTGTGGTTTGAAGTAGAAAGACAAGAATGCTTTGAGCTAGGGGATGACTCAGTCACTGTCTTCTGTGAACCAAGGGGACGTGCCAACTGAAGGTAACACTTGGGATTCTCTCTGGAATGGACATGCATGTATGGTCTTTACTACTGAGGAGGGGTAGGAATACTCTGTTAAAGTTTGGGCAGTTTTCCCCCATCTCAATGTTCCAGTTCAAGAGGCCCTACCTAATGAATAATGGTGCCCTACCTCATGGTTATACATAACAACTAGTGGGACTTTCCCAAGAACAGCCAAGTTAGTATGATTGTGATTCAGTAAATAGAGTTTGTTTTGGTTTTTGGTTGTTTTTTCTTTTGAGATGATGCTCTGATATGATATAATTTCTGTGTGTGTGGTAGACTACACATAAAATTTTCCATTTTAACCATTTTAATTTACAGGTTAGTAGCATGAAGCACATCCACATTGTTGAGCAACCATCACCACCATCCTTTAGTCTCCAGAACTTGTTTGCCTTCCCAAACTACACCTGTGTACTGACTAAACAGTAACTCCCTAGTCCTCCCTCTTCCCAGCTCCAGGAAACCATGATTCTAGTTTCCATCTCTATGAATTTGACTATTGTATATAACCTCATATAAAGTGAAATCATGCAGTATTTACCTTTTTGTGACTGGCTTATTTTACTTAGCATGTCTTCTGAGTTCATCGGTGTTGTAGCATGTATCAGAATTTCCTTCTTTTTAAAGGCTAACTAATGTTCCATTGTTTGTTTATATTGCAGTTTATCTGTTCACCCACTGATGAACACTTAAGTTGCTTCCAGCTTTGGGCTAGTGTGAATAAAGCTGCTATGACCATTGTCATAGGATGCGATTGTCAAAACATTCCGGAATTCACAACAGCTCTTTATCATTATGCATGCTTTCAATCAATGGTCCTAAAACTACACTTACTATTACAAGGGATCCGCAGAAAAACTCACATTACAGGTGTCCTCATGCTTAACGTGTTTTTTCCCCGCCACACAAAATTAATTCAATATAACTGATTGTATTCCCCATGCCATATGTTATGTCCCTATGACTTATTTATTTTTTAACTGTAAGTTTGTACTTCTTGATTCTCTTTCCCATTTCACATCCCGCACCCCCTGACAACACCCTCCCCTCTGACAACCACTGATCTGTTCTCTGTATCTATGAGTCTGGGTTTTGTTTTATTTTGCTTGTTTTGTTCTTATATTTCACTTATAAATGAAAACGTGGAATTTGTCCTTCTCTGTCTGATTTATTGCACCATAATACCCTCAAATGTGTATCCACACCATTGTAAACAGCAAGATATCATTTTTTATGGCTGAGTAGTATTCTATTATATAATATATATTTAATATTATATATATATACCACATCTTCTTTATTAACTCATTTATTGATGGATGCTTAGGTTGCTTCCAATTATTAGCTATCGTAAATAACATTGCAATGAACATAGGGGCTCATACATTTTTACAAATTAGCATTACAAAACAGCATTTTGTTGTTTTTGTTTTCTTCAGACAGATGACCAGATGTAGAATGCCTGGATTATATGGTAGTTCCATTTTGAGGAATCTCCATACTGTTTTCTGTAGTGGCTATACCAATTTACATTCTTATCAACAGTACATGAGGATTCCCTTTTCTCCATATCTTTACCAACACTTGAAATTTCTCAACACTTGCAATATCTCATTGCTGTTTTTATTTGCATTTCCCTGATGATTAGTGATGCTGAGCATCATTTCATGCATCTGTTGGCCATCTGTATGTCTTCTTTAGAAAAAAATGTCTATATCCTCTGCCCATTTTTAAAGTCATTGTTTTTTTTTTTGTTATTCAGTTGTAGGATTCTTTATATTTTTTAAATATTAACCCCTTATTGGGTATATGATTTACAAATATCTTCTCATTCAACTGATTGCCTTTTTGTTTCATGGATGATTTCCTTTCTTGGGCAGAAGTCTTTTAGTTTGATGTTGTCCCATTTGTTTATATTTGCTTTTGATGCCTTTGCCATTGGAGTCAGATTTTAAAAAATTGCTAAAACTTATGTCAAGGAGCTTATCTATATTTTCTTCTAGGAGTTTCATGGTTTCAGTTCTTAAATTTAAGTCTTTAATCCATTTTGAGTTAATTTTTGTATATGGTGTAAGATAGTGGTCCAGTTTCATTCATTTGCATGTGGCTGTTCTGTTTTCCCAACACCCTTTTTGAAGAAACTGTGCCTTCCCCGTTGTATATTCAGTAAATATAGTCTTGTGGTTAAAGAAATAAATACCTTGAATGACTTATTCTAATAGTCTAATGGATGAAGAGGCAAACATACTAAAAAAGACAATATTAAAGACTGTAAGCACTTAAATATAGGTTAACTATATTCTATCACTAGACTTTGGGCCTTCCTTCTTAAGCCTAAAATGTAATAATTCTAAAACCCTTCTTAGTGTCTAAAACCTTCCAGTCTTTGTTGTCTTTGGCAAAACTTCAGGCCTCTTGGCTTTAGGCAGCAATTTGTCAAGAAGGCTTGCCACTTTGGCGTGCTTCACCTTTATTTCTCATTTCCTCCATCCACTCAGGCTTCAAAAGCCCCTAATTAGCTGTTTACCTTAATTATTCCAGCTAGGACTTCATCTGGTCTTGGGTTCTCCCACTTCTGAGAATCCAAAGTGCCTGAACCTTTCCTATTAGGAGAATCTTTCTACTTTTCTGAAAAGTGTGTTTCATCACCTCCACTCTGTGTCTTATGGCTTCCATAGCAGGGAGGGGAGGACATAAAGGAAACTGGCAGTAGTCTTGAATGTGTGATTCTGAGCCACATATATTCCATTTAGGGACAACAGAAATTTCTTAAATAGCCCCCAGCAGAACAAAGAATTCCCAGATGAGCTACTGAGGCAAATATAAGACCTCCCTCAGCATAGTGCAGGCTTAGCTCACCTTTCGGATCCCCCAAGGCACTGGAGGAATAGTGGGTTGGTGCCCTTTTTCTTTACCAGAAATCCTTTTCTATCATGTTTTTTACCTCATGAGTATATAAAATCAAATTAAGCTGCCATGTAACTTGAGGACAATGTCTAGTAGTTGTAAACCTGTTTTAGATCAAGGCACTAGCCAGAATAGATAGAGACTTTCTGAGGTGTGTTGTTATTTATCAAATAAATAATGTGATTCTGGATTTCCCTAGAATATCCATGGAAACCAGACTCATTTGTTTACTAAAGAACTGTTAGCATCTTGATGAATAACATTCTTTGTATTTAGAGTTTTACTTATGGAAATGTTTTGGTAAAGGATATCACTAGCTTGAACTCTGATTAACCCAAGAACTACCTTTCCCAGTAGGCACATGAGTTGACACAGCCTGGCCACTTACAAATTTGAATCTGACAGAAACAAAAATTTCTATCAAAAAGCATTTGAGCATCTCGGTATAAAATTTGAATTTAGAACTGACTAAACCCTAGGCTTCCAAGACTCAAGACAGAGGATCAAGTGCATCACTTAGACCTCCCCAGGCAACATGGAACATGAATCCTATTGGTTACCTTTAAACCAGAGTTATCTGTAAAGTGACCAACTTCTTGGTCCACTGTGAGAATGTTCAGCTTGAGCATTCTGAAGGGTGGTCTGCCAATCACACAGAAAGGAAAGATTAAAGATTATTTTAAGCATGATGGTTTATTTTACTTGGAAGTTTTCCACCACTAATTTCTTTAAAAATTCTCATATACTTTAAGATTTATTTAAAATTCAGATTTTCTATTTCTCATTTTATCACCACTTTAATTAGGCAGAACAGACTGAAATCAGGTATCATAGAATAACTCTGCCTGTTGAGACTAACAATACTACAATTTATTACACATGATGATTGCCCCCACAAGCCCGTACCTGTCTGAGTCACCAGTCGTAAATGAATATGCAAAAGACAGACCTTTATTCTTTTGGATTCTCAGACTCTAAAATAAGAAAATTAGTCATCTAGTTCCAAGACTTGTGAACCAATCCCAAGTATAGAAGTCTATATTTTGTGCCTAATGACTGAAAAGCAAGTGTTGATGTGCTGCTGAAGAAGCACTCTGTAAAATAACTGGTATAGATAAAAAATAAATAAAAAGAAAATATGCCACAAGCTATTTGCATATGATAATTTCATAAAACACTCCTCTTGAGAAATACCTGAGTGAAATTAATTCACAATCAGTAGGAAGCCAGTGGGAATGTGTTTGTAGAAATAAAAAATCCAAAATTATTCTTGGGCTGTGAAGTTTGTTTACTGCCTTAACTGAAGTGTGTATCAAACATAAGTTCATTAGCATTGGCTGTGGGTTGGGGGAGGCACAGCTTTCCCCTCCAGTGGTTTTCATCAATTCTCTTGTTTACATTTCTTGGCAAGAGGTCCGAGCCACAAAAGGGTTTGTCCCAATATTATGTGTGAGTATGTGTGCACATGTGTGTGCATATGTGTTTTGTATAGTGATGGGCATACTTCTTTTCAAAAGGAGCATCAAAAATATGGATGGATTCTTAAAAACTGAATAATAGGTTGATAATTTAAAAAAATATTTTAAAACTTAACATCTCTATAGCCAAAGAGCAATGAATATTTTTAGTCACAGAAATGTTTCTTCCCACACAGAAATTTGAGGGCTGCTTACCACTATTCAGATTATCCATAACTGTCCAGACCTATGTGTATGAATGTCTTATTTATTAAGCATCTCATGCCTGGAATTAGGCTACAAAGAAACTGATAGATATTGCTTCATATAATTCTCACAATAATACTGCAAGGTATGTGTAATTATACTCATTTGAGAGCTGAGAAGCAGGCTCAGAATTAAGTACTTTGCCTGGTCTCCTAGCAATGAAGTAGCAGGAGCAAGATATAAATCCAGGTCTGTCTGGATTCCAAAGCCAGTGTTCTTAGTCATGATATACGGCTGCTTTCTTTCCACTTTTCTCAGGTTGCATGAATCTCTTTGCAAAAATCTTTCCCTCTTGGCTGTCTCTTTCCCCTTCAAGGCCGCCTTTGCCTTCAATGTCCATCCTAGCTAGATTTCACCTATATAAAAATGTTGCTGGGAGGAGGTCCCATAGTTAAAATCACGGGGATCGTAGACCAGAAGGATGGATAGAAAGATGGATATAGTATGAATGACCAGTCTGGTTTTCTTGGAATAGAGGGGTCTAGGAGTTGAGTACATGTTCCCAACATGTACTGAAGTCAAAGAAATGGTCATGGCAATAGTTACTTCAAAATGCACCAATGGGTAAATGAGACTAACAGTAAGTGATCTCATTAAAGGGTACTGGACTGGACAAAACCAATCAGCAGAGAGACTATTATAGTGGTTAAGAGGATGGATTTTGACAACAGGAAGACTGGATTTAAATCTTTACAATAATGTGTGATCTTGGACAAATTATTTATCCCATCTGTACCTCCATTTCTTAATCTGTAAAATGGACATAATAATGTATCTACCTCATGGGACTTTTGTAAGGAATATGAATATTTAAACTATGTGCTTGGCTCACAGTATGTATTATTTAAGTATTTGCTAGTACTAGTAGTAGTATAATGCTTTGCACTTGATCACCTCCTCTCCTGATACCTGATTGTGATCCTAGGTAGCTGATACTCAAT